CTCGCGTCCCGCCGCCCCGCCGCGCCCGGCTCCGCGCTGCTGCCCGCGCGCCCGCTCCTGTCGCTCGGGCTCCTGCAGCTGATCCTGGGCTGTTGCATGGTGGCGCTCAGCTTCGGGGCGCTGTCGCTGAGCAGCTCGCCGCAGGTGAAGAACTCGTGCCCGTTCTGGGCCGGCTCCTCGGTGAGTACTGAGAGCACCTCTTTGCGGTGGGGGTGGGGTGGGGGCATCCTCCGGGCAGTGTGTTGTGGAGGGTCCCTTCAGTTGTTCTTGTTTGACCTCTATTGGGGAGCGCAGACCCTAAAGCCACTTGAAGTGTAGGCAACAATGAGTAGGGGTGGGGTGTGGGAAGTAAGTGTCGGGAGGCAGTCAAGTTGAAAGGAGAATTGGATTGCACCTAGGCAGTGTCTGTCCCTTGCACGCTAAGGATTTGGTTTCCATCAAGTTAACATTAAGCACAGTATCAAGCTCTTCGAGAGACTCACATGAGGATGGGCGAAAAAGAATTTGAAACTTTTTTGGCCACTGAATACAGCATTGGCAAAGTAAACTCCAGGACAGGGGTTTTGATACACCAACAATTCCCATTCAGGGTGGGGTACTTCTGGAATGGGCAGAGCGACAGATTGAAGAGGCGGAAGTGGTTGACTTGATTTTATTCTTCATTAAGACATAAATAAATGAAAGAGTTGGATGACTGAACCCTGAGGAGCTCCGAGGTAATAGGAGGTTGTCTGTGACTGATGGCTTGTACCTGGTCATTAAAGAAGGGCTCAAACCCTGGATGGGTTCCTGGAGCCACCAGAGCTGCTCTGCAGAAGTGGGATGCTCAAGAAACAGAACCTGTCATTACAGATGCATATACCTGGAGCTCCAGTAGTTGGGGCAGCTAGCTGGGGATTTCTGCCCTATGCTGGCACCTGGTCCTGCCTCCTTGGCCAATGGGGAATAGGGAAGCCTGGCCTCTGAGAAAAGTGGCTGCCTGTGAGCAAGCACTTGTAGACTGGATAACTACTCATCTCTGCCTCTGAACTGTGTCACAACTTTTAAGACATCCAACCTCTTGAGGTTTGCCAGGGGCCTGGAGACCTGGAAACAGGTCCTTGTGCAAGGACTGTGGAGGATGAGTAGGACAAATGACCTTCCTATAAAAGCCATAGAGTGTCTCTAGCTTCTTCTGTGATCGTCAGTGAGTACACCTATTGTGCTCTACTGGTTAAAACGTATCCAGAGTCAAGACCAAATTAAAAAAAAAGGGGGGGAGAACATATTGAACCTAGAGTAATTGTTTGAGTGAGAACACGAAGAACATGAGGTTTCTCTGGCCTGACCCAGAATTTTGTATTAGCCGGTATCAATCTATACTTCTTCTAAAGACCTTTGCTAAATGGTCCTGTTGAGACCCCAGTCCTTTTGTGCGGTAGTGAGTGAAGTCCAGAACTTAAGTATTAGGTGGACAGAGTTCCACCCTATAGCTCTGACCCTGGACTACTATCTTTGTGAGCGTTCTAGAATGAAGTGTGGGGAGTCTGTTGTGTAGGAACCAGACTAATTCCTCCCCCCGCCTCCTGCCAGGCTAGTCATTCAAATGGTTTCTCCATTTCTTTTCTCTAAGTACCCTGGGCCAGAGTCTTATATGTATTTTATGGATTTACTCTTTGTAAAATCATAATCCTTTGTTCTCTCAGGATAGCTAGTTTATTTTAAAATATTTGTGAGAGGTGCTAGGGAGATGGCCCAGCCAGTTAAATGTATGCTGTGTAAACATGGGGACCTGGGTATGGATCCCTGGAACCCACCCAAAAAGCTGGGTTTGGGGAAAGGGGAGCCTGAACCCCAGTGTCTGGGGTGGGGTCAGAAGAAGATGGATACAGTGGATCTTTGAAGTTCATTGGCCAGTCAGGCTAGCCAAGCGGACGAGACACCCAGTCTCTAAAAATAAGATAAGGTGGAGAGAGTACCTAGTATCATTCTGTGCCACCACATATGCAGACAGACATACTAACAAGTATTCACAACACACACACACACACACACACACACACACACACACACACACTGTATTTGTTTTCCTCTAAAATTAAAATCTGAAATGGGTTTGCAATTGTGAATTCTTTCCAAGGTAAGTAAAGAAGCCACAGTGGGATTTGATGAGAAGGAAAACAGAGCTCACAAACTGGACTGCACAGGATGGTACCTGGGCTTGCCACGGGCTGGGCTTGTCCTCAGGCACAAGCAAATCAGACCCAAGAAGGAATCTAGGATTTGGACTTGAAAGGGTCACTTCTTTATGCCACAGTCTATGCTTATGTCCCTGGGTCAGTATTCAGACTTGTAACTGCTATTCATTCTTTGTGTATGTGTGACCTGTTTCTAAGGCCGACTTCAGAATTTGCAGATTGTCAACAGAACCAGTGGATATTAACTGTGTTTTCAAAACAGCTAAGTAGGCTTTAAGCAGCTGTCAGTAGATGCCATCCATTCTCTTGGTGTTTTAGGAAGAAAAATACCACACTTGTATTGTGTTTTAAACTCATGTAGGTGAGAGAGCTCTATTTAAAAGCAATCCTGTATTAGGAGAAGCATTAGACTTATACAGACAGTGTATAACAAAACCACAGCCACCCCCTCATCCCCAGCCACTGGAACGGTGGTCTCATCTGCACCCCTCCTAGGCTCAGCCACTGGTCCCGTGCTTGTCCTGATAGACGCCAGAGCAAGGAATGTCAAGCAGGAATTAAGTCCTTTGTGCTCCCAGTCCATTTGGCAGATTAAAATTGCCATGTTATTTTGAAAATCTCAGTATTACATCATTGTAATTTCATGTATAAAAATTTCAATGTGTGTATTTTTAGACAAGAGGGGGGGGATTAAGAGATTTCAGGAAAGTGACCCTTCCACTTTTAACATTTCATTATGAAAAAACTTTGAAGTTTTAATGAATGTAGAAGGGAGAAAGTAATGACCCTGTGTGTTGACCCATCACCAGCCTCGGGAGCTAGAACATCTGAACATCTGACACCACGCCCCGCCTCAGCACCCTGGGTTATTCTAAGACAAATACAAATGTGCCACTTCAGCCATTAAACACTTGGGTGTACATTTCAAAGAAGGGGCCTGGCCTAGTGACACATTACAGCAAACTCAGGTGGCTGGGCCAAGGTTTTTATGGAAAATGATGAAAAATTGTGACTTGAGGACTGGAGAAATGGAAACAAAACACAATAACCCAGCTTTATTGAGCTGTAGCCTGCATGCCTGACAAGTTACCATGTAACCAGAACTGTCTGGGAGTTTCCAGAGAGTTCACTGTGGCCCAGCCACCACCAAAATGGATTCTCATCACTCCCAGATCTCCTTTCTCTTCCCCTCCCCACCCGTCTGTCCAGATATCACTGACCTCTCTACTTTCTACCCTGGACAGTTTATACACACACACACACACACACACACACACACACACCCCTCTATATGTATGGGATCATTACAACATAAGGTCTTTCATGACTGAATAACTTCTTTTGATTAGGATATTTACAAGGCTCATCCAGTTTAGCAGCACCGCATTCCTGATAATTGTGAAGTGATATTTCACTGTGTAGGTGTGCCATGATTATGCGCACCCAAGAGTTTCTTCCTTGCTCCCTCCTTCCTTCTTTCCCCCTTCTTTGGAGATCTAGGGATTGAACTCAGGGCCTGAGGCAAGAGCTCTACCCCTGGCCCACTCAGCAGTTCGGTCTGTGTGTGGCCTAGTATTGAGAGGAAGTGGCACACAAGGCAAATGCTACCTGAAATCGGTGTGTGAGCACTGGAGAGGAATTGTCTCCTCACACTGCGAATGAGTGGCCATGGGCACTTTGCATTGTCAGTGAAACTGGCAAATCTTAATTTGGCTTTTGTAAAGCTTTTTGTTTTGTGTTTAATGCACAGTTAGGTTCAGGGACACACATATGTCATCAAGCAGCACATTTCAGGGATGTTTTTCTATGTTCACCTCTGGCAGAGGTGTCAGGCTGAGCTGGGGCTTCATCCACTTATCTGAACCCCAAGGAGCTGTTTCATTTGTGTGAAAACATCAGGAATTAAGTCCTGTAAGCAACTTTCCCCACACGTTTGAATGAATATTTCAGCAACTTGAAGGGACTATTTTAATGTAATCTTTATTCTTTAAATTATATTTCTTGACACACACACACACACACACACACACACACAGAGAGAGAGAGAGAGAGAGAGAGAGAGAGAGAGAGAGAGAGAGAGAGAGAGAGATATTGAGAGAGAGATTGATTTAGAGGCAAGTGCCTTTACCTGCTGAGCCATCTCAGTGGCCCGTAAGGAAAACTTTCTCATTTGACTGCTGTAGATGTAGTTCAGTGGGTACAGCGCCAACCTAGCAAGCAAGAGACCTTGGGTTCAATTCCCAGCACTGCCAAACAGCGGTGGTGGAGGCACACTGGTCTGCCATATAATCCAAGCCACTCAGGTAGAAGCTGATAGATGATCCTAAACCAAGGATCATCCTTGGCTTAGCCAGCTTGAGGCTCGCCTGTGCTATATTAGATGCTGTTTCAGAAAAAAAAAATGCATTTAGATCTTTTTTATTTGCACGTGCTATGATCATTTTCTCCCTTGCCAACCTTGGTTAAGGACTACTATCCCCAACGTTTGTAGTACTAAGAGATTAGCCAGTTGTCTCTAAACACAGCCCATTGTTGGTAAGTGGCTGAGGGAGCGTCTTGATGTCTGTGTTCAGATTGTGTCGTCCTGGTTCTCGGTTTAGGCATGTGGTTAAGTTGATATTTTGATCTCATTGGGATTGTGGGAGATGGCACCTACCGAGCAGAGCTACATATCATAAAAGAGCAGAGAGAGAGTTCCATTGGGTTGTCCATCTGATTTTCGAACACTGAAATCTCCAGCTTCTTTTGATGTCACTTATTCAGATTTTCAAATGAGTTATGCTATAGAAAGAGAAGAATCTCTCTCTCTCTCTCTCTCTCTCTCTCTCACTCACTCACACTCACACACACTTTTTCAGTCATAGGGAAAGATAGGTTGTTGAGAAGTTTGATAAATTATTTTCTGCCTATTCACAAGACAAACGGTACATGCCACATGGCTTTCAGACATCTGTGTTTAGATGCAGCAGTTTTTGACAAACGAGCCGGAACATTTTTGCCTGT